TTATATGAATTGTTGAATGCAAAACTGATGATGTGCCCTGTAAACTTTCACTCAATCCACAATAAAAACCTTAAATTAAATTAAAAAAAAGAAAAAATTGTCCTCTTAGGTTCTGCTTCTGGCAAACCAAGGGAGGACAAGAGTCAAGGACGGTTTTAAGGTTTTTTTTTCTCTGTATGAATCTTCAAGAGTTGGAACAAAGGAAAGGAGAGTTCAAGGAGAAGAAGCCAGTAATCTGATGTTATTGTAGCAGGCAAGATGCTCTTCATTGTAAGCATGCAAACACTGGCCTTTCATGGAAGTCTATTGAAAGGTCCTCAGAGACGCCCATAGAAATCAGCTGCACCAATCGAGAACAGTCCTCTGACGAGAAGACACAGGTGCTAGTTGGTATGGGTAAAACCACACTGGGAATCAGTGTCCACAGTCTTAAAAGGAAGTTCTTCAGGTAGAAAAAAACATTACCAGATAGAAACTTGGCTCTCTGTAAAGAAATGCACAGCACTAGAATAGTAAATATGTGGGCAAGTATAAGACATTTTTTTTCCCTTGGAATTAGAAAAACTTAATTAATTGACTACCAGCTGCTCCACAGGAGAAAGATGAGGCTTTCTGCTTCGGTAAAGATTTACAGCCTCGGAAACCCTGCACAGGGTCGCTATGGGTCAGAATCGACTCCACAGCACAGAACAACAACAACAACAATTAATTGATTAAATAACTGGTCAGATGAGTCAAAAAGCATTCTAGAAGTTAACAAAATTCCAGAAGGCATTCTAGTAGTAACAAAATTGGTGTAATTAACACATCTGATGGAAGTCGAGGAGATCAAAATACAAGTGCCGCTTAATGGTAAATCCGCCATCAGTCTTAGATGCAACCAACAGAGCACCAAGAAAAACAGAAATCCTTTTAAAAGAGTACCATGCTAAAGGTAGACATTCTTTACTGATTGAACTAACCTAATGTCAGGTTTAAAGAATTCAGGGGATATATGTTTAAGTTTTTATTGTGAATTGAGTGAAGGTTTACAGATAAAATCATCATCAGTTTTACATTTCAACAAATCCTACACTTTGTTTC